ATTTGGGTCATTCAAACCACCATATTTAGGGTCAGATATCATAATCATAGTTTATAGTATATCATCATATTTCCAATCCTTTTTGTAGGACTGCCGTGTTCCATGTGTGTTGAAGAACTATCCCAGCGTCTGGAGTTGCACAAGTTATGTTGTGGACGTGTCTGGCACATCCAAGCATGTGATGCTCAAAGTGGAAACGGACTCTTGGATGGGTTAGATTGGTTGTCTCGACAACTGGTTGCTGCTGGTGTCCTTGATGTTGCATAGTGGACACCATGTTAACCAACCCACCCAGTCTACATCGAGGAATCTTACTATCTCGTATATATAATAACATCAACCACTGAGTTTATCCTCACAATGCACTTACTTATGTATATATATATATATATCAATATTTATTTGATAGCACTGTATATATTATTTCTAGTGAAGCGTTGCATGTCATGATAGACATTTACAGATGTCATGCTCATTTGCTTATGGTATAGTCATCATATTTTGTAAATGCACGTAGCATGGATGTGTTTGTAAAAAAAATGTATGAAAGACCAACACTTAATTTGTTATCAAGTTGAAAACAAATTTCCGCATTTCACCCAGTTGTTTTCAATTTTTCCCTCAAACAGTTGGAGGAATTGATATACTTATCTTGCAGTTAAGGGGTTGTTATACTTTTCATGTAGTTAAGGGGTTGTTATACTTTTCATGCAGTTAAGTGGTTGTTATACTTTTCATGCAGTTAAGTGGTTGTTATACTTCTCATTGTAGTTAAGGGGTTGTTATACTCTACTTTTCATGTAGTTTAAGGGTTGTTATATTTCTCATGTAGTTAAGGTGTGATATATTTCTCAGTTAAGGGGTTGTCAGATATACTTCTCATGCAGTTAGAGGGTACTACTCTACACATCATTTATCTCCTTCTGATAGGAACATCTAATAAGCTATTGTCTGGGCTTCTTCTGCTGACCTTTCACCCCCAGTTGCCACTGGTGAGGTACATTGAGATTTTGCTGGAACAAACTACATCACTTTTGTTTACCACCGTTTGCTACTAGAAAGGAATTTTAATCTAAAAACATGTCATCAGCCACAGTAAGGTTAACACAACATCATAAAATAATTTTCTTATAAATAAGCGTATCTTTCTTTCTGAAAAATCTTCTTCTCAATTTCCAAGTGGCTAAACAAGTTGGTTGGCGAAGAAACACAATGTAAAAATAACAAACATGGATAACCCTCCACAGAAATCCAGGCTGTTAAATAAGTTGTGATGATGATTTTGCATCAAAATCATGTAATGCCTAGATCACACTGGATGTTCTCAAGGAATGTAACTTGCCTATCAAAATGCCAATAATAAAGCACTGTTTGAAGAGTTTGTGATGTAAATTGTTTGATGACAGTGTAATTGTTTTGTATCATTGCGGTTATAATCACCTCAACATTGGGTAAACAATGATGAAATAAAATACTACTTTGTGGTATTATTTTATTTGATATTGATGGCCCATTTCACACAATTATGTTTCACAGAGAGTCCCATAATTGTCATACCCACGATGTCCATATTTGATTGAGTTGTATAATTGACACTTTTGTATT